ATAGAGGGATCTTAATGCTTTTTTTTTTTTTTTTTGGTCCTGCTGGGGGTACACCAAGCTCAGAGCTCCCACCACCTGAAATATTTTCAGTTCAAAAGGCACTATAATAATTTAAAAGATAAGCCAGAAAGTAGCTGAAAAATATTTTCAAAACATTTTTGGATTCCTAACAGAACCGTTAGGAAGACTGTACAAAGACCTTATACATATCTCGGTCATAAAAACAGAGCCCAACATAAAAACAGAAGGCATAGTTCACTGAGAAACAGGAGTATCGGCTAAGTCTGAGAGAAATGCTAAACACTGCCGGTCACAGGAGCCGTGTAAGCTGCCACGGTACCTATGAGGATATCGCAAGCCTTTTGAAGGACACAGAAAAATTCAAACCTGAGACACATCAGGAACACAAACACCAGAGCACATGGTAACATTTTCCCAGGAGTTACCCCACTCCCAGCGCTGCCTCAGACAAAACAGACACATCCATCCTAGACCACGCACACAGACATTCATAACTGCCCAAACTAAACACAGCAAAACAACCCACAACGTTCATTCACTGGTAAGATAAGTAGTACATGGCATATCTATAGAATAGCAAATAATAATCAACAATAATACAAAGAAATTAATAACTGCTATATGCAGCAACATGGATGGTCTCAAAACACACACACAAGGAAAATGACAGAAGCCAGGTGTAAGAGGACAACAGATTGTATGATACCATTAATTTAAATGCTGTAAAAGCAAAACTACAGATATACAGTGCATGGCAGTCTGGCACAGTACCAGGACTGCAGGCTGATTGCAGAGGGTCCAAGAAAACTTTCTGAAGCCATGGGAACACCCTGAAGCTGATCGTAGTCAAGTTTATCCTGTACAAATGTATTGGAGCTAACTAAGGAGTATATTTTAAAAATGTTGACTTTTATAGAATGCAAATTGCAGCTCAATGAAGCTACTCTAAAAGAAGAAAGGCAAAGGTAAGAAGGAGTGAAAATGTCCGTGGCCACATCTGCCCGAGAGCACCAGCACGGGCACAGTTACACTTAATGGCTGCATGTCCTTCGGCTTCTTTCACAGCTAGGGTTGACCTGGACTCTCACACTAGTCCAAGTTAACAGTGAGGATCTTACCAAGGCCCAGGGTACAGTAGCTAATTACATATACTGTGACTACTACCAACTATTTCTGAGCACACTGTGCTCAGAGAATAACAGAGGCACAGCACATACAGAACTGGAATTTTATACACAAACACTGAAAATTACAAATACAAAACCCAAACCAACAACAAAAAGGAAAGGAAACAACACAGAACAAAACCAAAGAGGGCGTACTAAGTGGCCGAGGCTCCCACAGTGACAATGTAGTGGCCCAGGACTGGGAGGCCCGGCTCAACTCTGAGGTCCACCTTTCACTGCCCTGCAGTGTATTTACTGTGTGTAAAATGTCACATGTCAGTAAGAGTGCGATTATAATTAGGAACTGGAAGACAAAGCTAAAACATAACTATTGGTATGAAAAATAAGGAATGCTACCTGGAAAACCCAAAAGTAATTTTTTTAAATGATAAAATAAAAGTATCAGGTAATAAAATTACACTTACAAAGCTTTTGAAGATTTACTTATTCTATGGATACAATTGTTTGCCTGCATGTGTCCACACGCCTGGTGCACATCCACAGCCCAGCGCTGCATTTTAATATGGAGAATGACAAAGACCACACTTTTAAACACCGAGAACCTTCCTTCATTCCAAACTTTAGTAAATTTAAAAGGCAAAAACAAAGATGTAACTAACGTAATGAAGGAAATCACAGAGGAGGACAGTAACATGGTGTTTTTAAGCATAGTAAATACCATGGTTTTAGGTGTCAAAATGTGGTGTGAAGTTCTCTGTCAAACTGTAAGCATAGGATGTAGCTTGAAGACATCACTTGTTACTAAAATGTACTATGGTCTTCTAGCCTAGAACACAAAATGGTCCTTCCTTGTCAGCAGAGCCTTCTACTTAAGAACAGAAATGATAACCGGTTCTTGAACATCACTTGCTTATCATTTTAAATTGTCAAGAACAAGTTACGAGCAACTTAAATACTGCATGAAACAAACCATTATATTTTTAATGCAAAACGATTTTATAAGGTGTACGCAGTTGTGAGGTACTGTGTTATTTTCAGCAGTTCCGTCAGCGGCCGCAGTGCACAGAGAGGCAAGGGTTAAAGTCTCACATCAGCACAGACACAGCAGTGATCACTGTCTTACCAATCTGTTGATGCGGACAAAGTCCTCTGAGGTTTTGGCCCAAGGAGGAAGCTCAACATCCGACACCACCGTCCCATCGTCCATCACTCCAAGGTTATAATTGTTGACGTTGACAAACATCTCAGGGAGATAGTAAAACTCAGGAATCAACTCCTACATAAAAAAACGAAAGAAGTATTGTATCATAAAATATAGGCCGTGAACTGGGTATCTGTAACACGACCTGACTGGTTCCCATTACACAGAACAACAATAAAAATAGGTAGGAAAATTTTTTCTTTTTGTTCTATCACCAACTTTTTGTTAAGAGAGATCATAGCAGGAAAATGTACACAGCATCTTAATACACGTACCCAAGGCTTTCCTTCAGCACACACTCAAAACCTCAGAGACTCTTCATTTCAAATAAGCAAGTGCTAACTGGATTGCCAAGACACAAACAGGAACTGCACGCTATACCAACAGCCCACCATAGATTTTAAAGTGAAATATGTGGAGTTTGTAGCAGAAAACAATCTTTATGGAATAAGAGTTAAAATGTTATTAATGTGGTCTCTATCAACCTGGAAAATAATTACTTATATTTTAGTTATAGATAAACAGTAATTTTTACATCAAAACATCAAAGTTTTTTAAGATACTAACTCTAATAAAAGATCAAAATCACTTGTCTAGAAACCCTGCATAGAAATCAATTAAATGAAACATAATGACTATAATTACCAATTTTTACAAAGGAGAAGAACGCAGCCGGGTAGGCCATGAGGCCCACACGTAACTTTTTCAGAGCTCTGTAGACCTGAAATCCAGTCTTGACATGGGTCAGTGCCTCAGTAGTCTTTCAGAAACCCCCAAGGCCAGCTACCACAGGTCTGAATTTCCAAACAGTAGAAAAATAGAGAGGTCATCAGATTTTGGACAAGGTCAGTATGAACTTGCCAGAGCAGAGCAAAGAGATGCATCAAGAATTAAGCTATTATCACATTCATAGCCCATTCATGGAATGCTGCTTGACTCTGAATTGCACATCTTTTGTTTACAATCATGATAATTAACTAAGCAGGGCAGAATGAGCTTGTCCTTCAAATGCCTGATAACACATGGTCAATAGCTGTGAAAGACTTCTAAAGTGAATGTTAGTCCTTAAAAGAAGAACCTTGTTGGAAGTTTAACCTTGAATCAGATAACTCTCACACACTTCAGGAACTTCAGGTACACCATCTTTGGAAGCCATGACTGTGACTCTGATCTCTAACTAGAGAAGCAGGACAAGCGCATGTTATTTTACGCTGGCAGGAGTGACAATGTATTTGTGCGTGTTAGGTGAGATCAGAGCTTATTTACCATGATTTACCTTCATAACAGCTTTAGAAGGTGAGCTAATGGGTCCATCTTATGAAGTTAAGGCAGGCTTGGTGGCATGTGCCTGTAATTCCAGGACTCAGAAGACTGAAGGAAGACAGAGATGTTACCTGGAGGGTAAGGCTAGTCTAGGCCACACAGTAAGCCGAGGCCTGTCTAGGCTTTATAATGAAACCCTGTCTTTAAAAGACAACTGCCCAAGGTGGAAGAGCACAAAAAGTTCTCATTGGATTAGCCCAAAGACCTGAGTTTGACCTCCCCAGGGATTCATGGTGGAAAGAGAAAACTGACTCCCAAAAGCTGTCCTCTCCCTGCCACGTAGGAACCAGGAAACACTCCGTCCACTCACATAATGTGTACACACACACACACACGTCATTTTTACTGACAGTAAAACAGAAGCTAAGGAAGACATGGGTATATGATTTTCCCAAAGATTAAGGAAACATGTTTCTTCCAACCTCTGGTAGCTGTACTCAGCCTAGAGGGAAGGAGGGGGGATGCAGTGTGAACAGGAACAGGAGGGCGCTTCTGATGAAGAGGAGAGGAAAGCTCTGGGCTTGGTTGGCAGAGCGAAGACAGACTGGATTTGACTTCCTACCCACTGTCCCTCAGGGGGGACACCCTGCCCACAGAGTCTGCTGGACCAACATGCTTTTTTCTGGGGGAGCTGTCACCAGACAACAAGGATTTGGCAGTTGCAAGTGTGTCCCAACCTAAACCCAGTAATAAGAAGCAAAGACGCTGCCTCGAGGAGACTACACACCTTATTTTAAGAGTAAGACGACAAAGCTGAATGGATAGAAGTCAGAAGGGCCAATTTTCTAGGTGCTCCCTAAACCTGGATTCTCATTCAAGCCTTAAAAAGTTGAAGGCCACCACAACCGGCTGATATGTAGCCCAGGTTGGCCTCGAACTCGTAATCCTCCTGCCTCCCCCTCCTTCAGCAGGGTTCTTGCAGGGACTGATGAATCAACCAAGGACCACGGAGAGGAACTAGACCCCCTGCTCAGATGTAGCCCATGGCAGCTTGGTCTCCTGTGGGTTCCCTAGTAAGCGGAGCAGGGGCAGTCACTGGCATGAACTTGGTTGCCTGCTCTTTGCTCAACTCTTCCTGGAGAGGTAGCCTTACTAGATCGCAGAGAAAGAGGATCCAGACAGTTCTGATGAGACCTGATAGGCTAAGGGTCAGATAGTAGGGGAAGAAGACCTCCCCTATCAATGGACTAGGAATGGGGAGTAGGAGGGAAGAAGGAGGAGGGAGGGACTAGGAGGAGATGAGGGAAGGGGCTACAGCCAGATACAAAGTAAATAAGTTGTAATAAACAGTAGTAATAAAGAAAAACATTTTTTAAAAAGGAGAAAGACAGAAGTTGAAGGCCTTGTCCTACCACTTTAATGATTATCGGTGGACTTTCCACCACCCTGCTATGAATAAAGGTTAGATTCAAATTGGGATGGTTTTTGTATGTTTGTGTTGGCCATTATGATTTTATATTCATCTTAATAATGAATTATTAATGTATAAACTGAAAGTACAATTTTGGGACACAAAATGGTACAGTGAAAGAATAAAACACAGTAAGTACTTATTTTTACTTTTTCTGACTTTTTTTGAGAATAGGATTCATACTGTAGCCCACGCTATCCTGGATTTTACTATGCAGCCCAGGCTGTCCCTGAGCTCATGGTTACTCTCATGACTTCATGACTTTAGTGCTCACATTACAGGTGAGTAAGTTCTTTTTGGTTCAAGCCTTGGGTAGACAAAAGCGGTGACACAACACATATTTCAAAAATAATTATTTAGTTCTGAATCTTTACAGGTAATTAATTGTGTTAAGGTTCAAACAGAGAAAAGTGTTTTCTATTCATATAAAAACACAGATCAAAATGAGGGATCTGTGAAAAGTGCAAGAAAAGACTCATTTATTAAGACAAAACTGGTTGTAGGAACAAAGAGCATTCAGAATTCAATGGAGAAAACGGAGCCTAAAAGCCAGGCTGGTCAGGACTGTGGGTAGGAGAACCCTCGGCAGCAATTTCCCAGGGCAGAATCCTGCCATCTGTTTGCATGTTTCTCTGAAATGAAGGCACTGGGAAAAGGTGGACCCTAAGTATTTTGTTCTTGGCTACATAATCCCGCGCATGTCCAGTGACAGCATACTGGGCCCTGGAAAGAATATCTGTGAAGTGAGTAACAGAGAGAAAGACTATGGAGGAGGAGGGCAAGGCCTCAATAGGCAAAGGGCCTGCTGTGTGAACCTGAGGTGCCTTCTCTGACCCAGCACTCCTGCAGAGAGGTGGAGGTGCGAGCAAGCATCCCCGGGAGCCTCTGGGACAAGCGGCAACAACAAAGGAGCTCTGTTCAAACACTGGGAGGACTGACACCACAGGCCTATCCTCTGTCCTCACATCTGCTGTGCTAGCTACAGATCTGCACACACACATGAGCACACGCGCACACACACACACTACACAAAATTAACAAATGGTATTTAAACTTTACTAAATAGCATAAGGGAAAGCCAATGGCATTCCTGATAAGAAAGGTATCTTACATACATTATTGAAATGTATGTATCATTTAGTTTTAATAATCAATGAGAAAAAAAATCAATCGGTTTAGGGTTAAAAATAAAGTGAAAAGAATAAGTAGAGTGTGAAAAAGCCGGGTCTAATGCCTTAGCTACCCCTTCCCATAAAAACAGAAACGGGGACACTTAAAAATAACACAAAGCTAAACAGAGCAGGCCTTTACTCACAGTAACACTGAAGAGATTATGAAGAGCTTACAAATAGCATGCAGGACATAATCAAATAAGCGCAATTGAATTACTATGAAGGGAGACTTGCTGCAATCTCAAGATAGGTAAACAGCATAAACTGGGGGAAGCCGAATCCCCTCTTAATAGGAAACAAACACGAACGTAATCAAGACATCAGGACAAGTCAAAGAAGCACAACCCGCAGAGCCAAAGCATCGTCCTGGGGTCGGCGGCAGCCGGCGTCTGGCCGGAGCGCCCTCTGAAAACAGCGGTGACCCAGCACCAAACACTCCCATCCAAAATTATCTTCTTTGACAGATGAAATTTATTAACAGAGTCAAAGATTATGTCTTTCTGATACTTTAAATGCACACTTACAAAGTGAAGTATGTTTTATATTCATCTGAACAGAACACTCAGCTCTGGATAAAAAACACATGTTCGGCAATACTTTAAAACATCAGTGGGAATGACAAGTAAACAACCCTGACAGAAGACAGACATATTCGCAATCCGTATTTTCCTTCAGCTTGCGGACAATGACTTTAATTTCTATCGCTTAAACAGGCAGATAGGTTCTAGAAGAGGCGACATGGTCAAACTTTAGTGTATCATCCCTTAAAATAAAACCGTGACAGGTTCAAACAGAGGTTACACCACAATTCAGGGTAAACTCGGCACTTTGATCACAAATCCTGAGGCTTTCCTGCCGTAGTGACAAGGATTGGCTGAACCACACATACGCTTTAGTTTTCCTCATGAAGGCACAGTATGCGCTGGACGGAACGCCTGCGCAGCCAGCCTGTGGACTTTCCCTTCATCACTTACCAGTTCTCTCCCCAGAACTAAAACCATTGCTCCCTCCATCCTCCATCTGGGCTAGCACATGAAATGCCAATGTATTAATATAAAGAACGGACACGGATGGACACACAGACACACACACACAGCCAATCTGCTGCTTCAGAATAAACGTTTATACCTACTTCCCTCTCTTTCAGGTCTGAAACCTTGACAATTAAA